GGGTTTTTTGCTTTGTATGTCGGGGGTGGGAGATTCATGTGATTGGTTGTTGGTTGCGTTGCTCGCAAAAAATCCCCAAGCTTTCAGACACGCCCACCTCCAAGATTTTCAAGATTTTTTTAACGCTGCTGTGTGGACGGGCCGTTACTGTCCATATGCTCACATCCACATGGGTGAAACTCTTGTTCCATTAAAAGGTTAACTTAAGGCTTTTTGTCCTAGATTCAGCATCTCCAGCAACATACATGCTGCTGTGCTATTTTAGTGTTTTTTGGGTTATATTCAGCTTGTGAGGACAGTGCAGACGCTAGTCAATGCTGCATTATGGGGAAAAAAATAGAACTTTATTTAGCCTTTTTTATTAAAACATAATTTTCTTACAAGATGCATGAACTAATTATCAATTAAAGCAGTAAAATACAGTGCTCTCTGGAGTAAATAAAAACATCATTATTTATTATTTGTATAGGTTCAGTTTTGAATTGGGAAATATTATTTTACATTTCAGTCAAACAGTATATGAATGTTTGACAATAAATTATGTTTTTCTGCCAAACGTACTAAGGGTCTGGTGATAATCAATGAATGTGATATTGTTATTATAATTATTACGTTAATGCATTATAAGGAACTTTTCTTGTGTGTACTAACAGCATAATAACCAATTTACCTTTAATTCAGTTATTTCTAGTTCATTTAATGTATAAAAATGAAGATTTATATTACTTAAATACTTCACCTAAAGAAGCTGACTTTATTGTGAATTCTACCAAATAACTTTACATTATAATGTATGTTAAATGACAGCATTTCAATTAACCTGCAATATTAAGCCATCATCCAGCATAATAATAGAGTATGAATCATGAGCATTTAACAGTTTCTCAAATAAAAATATTTAAAGTATTTCTTCTCCTACCCTGGCATCGAGGTTGAACGCAGTCTTCTTTAGATCTTGCAGGGCCCTCTGCATAAACTCAAATGCATGACAGTCCACACATGGGCGACCTGCAAATAAAAGGAAAGATTTTCAGAAACGTGTCAGTTAGTTACACAGACCTATTTACCTGAGCTTTGCTTACATCTAGAACTGCAACAAAAAGTCGACACTGATTAGAAAATATATATACCACTACCAAATTACCGAATAATCCTTTAGGTACTTTTAGTTGCAAAAAATTAAACTTTTACACCTCTCAGAATGGGAGTTTTCTCTGTTTTATATCATATAAAATCTGAACATTTCATTTAAAGACGTGAATTGGCCTCTGAGAAAATTGGGTTGTACAATATTCAATATTTTCTGATATTTTACAGACCCAAAAGTTAACCATTGTTATCATAAATGGTGCCTGCAAAGGAAAAAAATCGTAGGTATTTGCCTTTACATTTCTATGACATTTGGGTCTTGAAGTAACAGTGCAGCGCCCATTTTATTGTTGTCACATATAGGCAATTAGGATGACCTACAATTCCCACCATGACACCTGTGTGGGGACCTATGACAACACCACTGTGGCAGGTTTCCACCACGCCTATATGTATAAACCTGCACTGAACATGGAGAAAAATCCATATTTATATTAAATCCACCTACTTTCAGCAGGGATGACAGTCCCAGTCTCATGATCCGCATCAGCTGCACCGAGACAGATGAGCTGCACCGCCAGAATGAGCACCGCTGCCTGCAGATATCCACTGGACGCCATGGTGCTGATCAATTACCTTTTGGAGCTAGAAATAAAATTGCCCAGGTGTTTGGTAAAATACAACAGAAAATGTTCCACACGGCCGTCAATCAATGAAATAACAGCATCTGATTGGCTTTGTTTGGAAAATAGTCCCGTTTTCATCCGTTGATATGTGTATGTATTTAAAAGTATGAATACACAGAGTATAATCACTGCTTATTTTACAAATGACGTGTTATCCTACCGTGAATCAGTCGATGATATTTGCAGAATCAACGCAAGATGCCTACCTAGGGTTGTTTTATGTGGAGTACGGGAGTGCGCATGCGTGTGCCTCTATTTGCTTTGGGGACCAGAATCAAGTCTTCCGGTGAAAATATTCAAAATAAAAGCCTAGAAAAACTTAGAATTCATAAACTAACTGGAGAGATGTATTTGATCTGCCATACATTGTTTTATTTATGCATGAGTCATAGTTAATGGTACAATAAACAAATTACTTACATATGATTTTGAAGTACTTTACTTGTCTTGTTCTCGTTTTCTGCAACTCCTAAACAGACCATAGGAAAATATTAAACTGTACTTCACTACATTTATACAACATTTCTCGTTACTTCTTATTTTTCAGATCAAAAACGTGGTATGTTTTAAAAGAGAGTAAACATCACAAATAAGTGGGATATGTTTATGTTATAAAGTGTCCTAAGTATCAAGCTGTAAACATGTGCTCTAGCTCAATCAGCTGTCACATTGTTGCTTATATACTTCATTTGTAATAATATTAATATATAGATACACTCAAGCCAATCTACGTAATACTTATTAAATGCAACATTTCTACTTTCACCTGAGTTAAGGGGGCTTTTTTATCATTATAATATATTATAAAAAAGTGCATTGCATTAGTGAACTTACTTTAAAAATGTTTTTTGAAGTAATGCTTTGAAACATACAAGAATTGCACTGAAATACACAAAATTAAACTAAATGTTTTTTTCCTTTAGTATTTTGGCGCGAACTGAATAAATACAGTTGAACGTTTCAAACAGAGCAATTACATTCATATATCAGATAAGACCACAGTATGTAAAGTATTTTCCAGTTTTTATTTATTTTGTTGTGATTCAATGTTGTCAAAAGAGCCCGGTGTGGGCGGGGTCCTGACTGTTTTCTTAGGTGGCCCGTTAAAATGCCCGAACTCAAAACACTTCTTTTTCCAAGATGGCGTCGATGAAGGACAGCGACACCGGCCTGTGGCTTCACAACAAATTGGGATCCACGGACGAGCTTTGGACGCCTCCGAGCATCGCTTCTCTCCTCACCCTGTCAGTAATTGACAACATACGGTTGTGCTTTTCGAGTTTGTCGCCGCCGGTGAAGCTGAAACTGCTGCTCGGGATGCTGCATCTCCCCCGGCGGACCGTGGACGAGGTGGGTCGCTTTTCGGTAGCTTTCTGTTAGCCTGACAGGTAAAGTAGGCTTTTAACTTAAAAACACAGCTAAGTAGTCAGCTCAATGTAAGACTAGTAGTTCTAAATCGAAGCATTACTTGTTCTGTTGGTGTTTAACTACAGGTGAAACATCTAAACATGCTTAATCACCTATTTAGTTAGCATTAGCTTGCTATCTCTAACTGATTATTTGCAACGGTTAATATAGTTAGCGAACTAACGTAAAAAAACTAGAACATGATATTCCTGCGCCCGGGCCGATTTACATTCGTTCTTGAGAAAGACGTCTACGCGTAAGTTCGTTAACTAGCTAAACGACCGACTTGACTATATAATCGCGTTTTTTCTGCAGTGGTTGAGCAGCGACACCGGGAAACATTAGCCTAGCTGTCCTCGTTCAGACATTATGGTGGGATGGGCACAAGAGAGCAGAGTGGCCGAGCTGGAGGCGGTCCCAGCATCTAGTCCCACTCATCACTTGATAAGCTGCCTCAACGTTAGACACCCGTCATCTTTGTCATGCATATTCAGAAAGTGTGTTACAGACAGACACAATTCCCTTCTTCTGCAAACTGTAAGAATACTCAGATTTTGTACTTAAGTGAAGTAGAAGTACCACAGTGTAGGAATAAATTGACAACGAAATAAACTTAAAGTACCAAAATTAAAAGTACTTATTATGCAAAATCATGTATTAAATGACTGGATTATTATTTTTGATGGATTCATTTGTTTATCACCGCTGTTAAAAGTGAAGCCAATTTCCTTATTTAATAATGCATATTCAGAAAGTGTGTTAAAACTCAGACTTATATGTATGTACACAACTTTAGTGAATGTGCGTAGCTACTTTACCCCCATAAGTCAGCCCTAGTTTCTGTTTTGTTTTGCTTTCAATATAATATTCGGTAAAGTTGCTCATCTGCAAACATTGCCAAGCGATGAAGAGTTTAGGAATGTTGTTCTTGTACAGTCAGTAGGTGGCTCTCGTGTACTTCACACAATGAAATCAGATGAAGTGTAACTAATGCTGTTTGTAACTCAAATGATTTGATTGCTGCCAGATGTCTGCCTTCATTGTAGTCGATGGTGTTGTCTTTATTTTAAATACTGTAGGTCGCTCTGATCTTTACTGTTGCCAACATGTCATCAATGTCAATGTAAACAAGCTGCATGTAAATAATAATAGTTGACAGATGCTTCGCAAATCCTGTTGCATCATTTTGTCACAAGCCGCAGATACAAATCTTGGTGATCAATCGGCGATTACATGGAAGCCATTTGATCTGCAGCTTCACTGAAATGACACAGCAACAGGATAGGAAGGAACAGTTGATCAGCAGATACGAGAAAGACCGCCTTCAGCATATTAATTTGTTCTTGTGAATGTAATGCATTTTAGATTTTCTTGCCATTGGTCAAAAGACTTAAAGAAAGTACTTTGCGTTTTACATGACTGAAAGCTCAAGACATTAAACTGCAAATAAACAATAATAACGTCAAGTCCTCCTTTTATCATGAACTCCTCAGGTAGGGTTGTGTTTGGTTTCACTTATAGTCTGAGTAACTCATTTTGTGGAGTGAAACAGTGCAATATTTTCCTCTGAATTGTAGTAGAGTAGAAGTACAAAGTAGCCGTAAATCGAAATACTCAAGAAAAGTACCCCATCATTATACTGAAGTAAAGTACTTGATCAGAAAGTGTGTTAAGACTCAGACTTATGTGTGAATTATTTGATTTCCTTTTTATCTCCTCTGTAAAGTGTCTTTGAGCACCTGAAAAAGCGTGTATAAATGAAATGTATTATTATTACTAACCCCGTCTTCCTCTCTCTAGATGAAGGAGGCCCTGTCAGAGATCATCCAGCTGGCGACGGTGGATTCGGAGCCCTGGGTGCTGATGGTCGCAGACATCCTCAAGTCCTTCCCAGAGACCGGCTCTCTCAACCTGGACCTGGAGGAGCAGAATCCAAATGTGCAGGATATCCTCGGAGAGCTGAGGGAGAAAGGTAGGCAGCGTGTGACTGTGTCTTTAGTTGTGTGGGTGGACCCACATTGAGAGAATCCATGGGTTCAAAATACACCAGTAATACTAATGTTGTGTTACTCAGCCCGCTGCTCTGGAACAAAGAGTGTAATTACAGCAGAGTATGAACTTATGGTTAATACAAAATGTTCTGACAGTCTGGAAAATAAGAGGATATTAGAATCTACTAAACACTTTTATTTGTTCTCAGTCAGACTCAGTACCCTGTCTTTTGATACTTTATGAATAGCTTGAGGGGTTCAATATCTCCCATGTGAATATGGTCATAACGTTTGGTGTATGTGGGAATAGTGAGCATATGTCATTGTTTTGAAATTGCATGTTATGAATGCATTTTTTTGTAGTATTTACGGTACTTTTTTGTTAAAAGCTAACATCTTTATGCATGAGGCCTTCAAAAGGTTTTCATTAACGATACAAACCCTTAATAAAGTGTTGCTTTTATCCTTTATAGAGTGTACATACACCTTTTTATTCCATCTGGCCAACATTGGCATATGGATTCTAATGTTTAGTGATATTTTGCAAGCTTGTTTGCTAACATGTTTCATCTGCTAAACATGGGCAAGTGAGGTTGTGAAGTGAGTGCTAGATCCTCCATCTGTCCTTCTGTAAATCAGCTGATGAATCTCTTCCCCTCGGCTTCTGTCCCCCCCCAGTGGGCGAGTGCGAGGCGTCGAACATGCTTCCTCTGGAGTGCCAGTACCTGAACAAAAGTGCGTTAACCACTCTGGTGGGACCCCTTACACCCCCCGTCAAACATTTCCAGCTGAAGAGGAAACCCAAGAGTGCGACACTCAGAGCGGAGCTGCTGCAGAAATGTAAGTTAACCTTCAACGAATACATTTCTCTGCAGTATTTGAAAGCATCAGTGTCATTTGCTTCCTTTGGCTTGATATTGGCATATTTCTACTTGTTAGGCATTGTTTACGAGATCAGCGTGTGTACTTTGTTGATTATTTGTTCAACATTACTTTCTTTTCCCTTCTAGCCATAGAGACAGCGCAGCAGCTGAAAAAGACAGCTGGAGTGCCTTTTCACGCCAAAGGGAGAGGACTGGTGAAAAAGATCGACACAACCAGTGAGTTGAATATCAACGGAAGCTCATTCAGTGCTTCTAAAAAACAAAGTACCATCATAGCGATCATTTTGCAAGAACGTTTTTATTCAGACTCTTGTTGCTGATACATTTGTTCCTCTCAGCTCCTCTCAAGGGGATTCCCAACAAGGCCCCGTTCCGCAGTCCCACGGCCCCCAGTATGTTCAGCCCGCCCAGTAACCGCACGCCTATCGCCCCGGCACGGACGCCTCTGCGCAAGGAGAGGGGGGTCAAGGTAATGTCAGATTCCAGAAAACCCTCCTAGATCAAAGTCAAGTCTGAGTCGTTTTATTGTGGTCCAGTTCTATTGAATAAATGCTTTATCATTCTGGACTTTTCCCCCCTTTTCTAGCTCTTAGATATTTCCGAGCTGGATATGGTCGGCGCTGGAAGAGAAGCTAAGAGGAGAAGAAAGACTTTGGGTAACTATATACCCAGTCTTCTACCAGCCCACATTTTAAAGCTGCACCATGAGTTCATGAGTTGGTATCTTCTGCTTTAGAAACGGAGGCGGGAGAGAAAGCAGCCAAAGAAGAAGCGGCAGCAGCAGCGGTGGTGGAGAACACCACGCCAGACTACGCTGCAGGCCTGGTGTCTGCACAGGTACTCTACTCCACAGCATTTAAACATCGTCTCAAATGACCGCCTCTCTGTATCACTCAGTTTTTCTCTGACCCTCGTAACTAATACCGTTTTGTTTGACAGAAACTGGGGGCGTTGACCGAGAATCCCCTGCCGTCGACCAGCTACCTGCCGGCCACACCCAGCATGGTCCCCTCCTCCTCTTACATCCCCAGCTCCGAGGCACAGCCAGGTTAGACAAACACAGAGAACTGTATTGAAAAGTGCTTTTATATTCTCACAGACAAAAACCTCCCTCCAGGCAGCAGGAGGGCCTTTCAAGATTCAAAGTGTTATCGTCACATGCACAAAGCAGCTACAGTGTGGAAATGGCAATGAAAATCTTCTGACCTGAGCTCCTCCAACAATGCAACATATATAATAAAATACAAAATAGAAAGTGGTGCAAAAAGTCTATATACATGTAAATAGAATGTGTGACCCGCTCTATCGAAATCAACGGCTCATTTCAAAATAAACGTGGATTTGCGTAACAAAAAAGTTTTTCGGGGTTCGGGTGTTTTGTTTGATTTTAAATAAACAAAGTCTTGGCTTTCAGAATATGAAACTTTTATTTCCAAAACCACACGATAAATACATGTTTGAAGCTCGTAAAGGGAAGATGACAGCTCTCACTCGCCACTCTGCTGTTCCTTAGCGCCGCCCCCCTCCCTCCGGCTGACATTATGAATGTAAGCGTATAGTAACCATAAATAACACGGCAGGGTCCGTTACAGTTTGTTTTTTATCTGATTTAAAATAAACAAAGTCTTGGCTTTCAGAATATTAAACTTGTTTCTGCAAATTCAGATGATAAATACAACGTTGAAGCTTGTGACGGCATAATTACAAGCGGAGAACGGAGTAACGTAACGTCACAGCAGGCATAACAACGGCCGGTGTTTCTCCTGAGGGTTTTCCCCGGGAAACAAATACACACAAACGCGCTCGCGAGCTTCCCCCAGGCCAGTAATCCAAACGAAAATATGCTTCCTCCGTACTACTTTGATCATTTAGTAGCCGCTAATAATCAATCAGATCGATGGATTCCAGAGAAGAGGAAACTTTTCTCAAAATGATGACTCGGTGAGAGTCATTATATATAATGTGACATGTTTTGCTTAATATTTTGAGTTCAACAACAATCCTGATATCATTAGAAAGCTCTTTCCAACAGTGGATACAACTCAAAATGTGTCTTCGGGTCAATGTGACTGATATCGATAGAGCAGGTCACATATGATATGTACAAGAACAGAATATGAAACAAAATAATGTAAATTGAGACAAAATTAAATATGGTTTATTGCGTGGATAACTATTTATATAAATCTGTATATTGCAAGATGACAAACAGGAATGTTTATCGGGGCGCTTAGCAGAACTCAGGTGTTTGCATCATGTCAATCTCACAATGTCTCTTCTTCTCCACCCCCCTCTGAAGCGAACGCCGGTGGGTCGGGGCGGGACACGCTGCAGTCGGCACGCCAACCAGAGGAGTCGGCAACAGCGGGCGCAGGCGCCACGGCAACACTACCGGGCCAGTACAAACAGAGGACGCCCATGTACAACGCCAGCAACACGACCAACCCCGCGACCCCCACGTCTCCAAGCACGCCCGTCTCCACCCCCGCCAGCAACGGGCCCCCAGCAGCCGCCACCGCCAGCCAGCCAGAGACCCCCACCCAGCCCCCCAGCACCCCTCAGACACCCACACCCACCCCCACGCCACCACAGCCCCAGCCCAAAAAGAATCTGTCCCTCACGGTAAGGTGGAGGTGGAGGTTGCTTGGTGGTTCAAAGACACAATAATAGTTTAATTGTAATGTATGGATTTTTAATTCCCTTCTGCTGTTCCTGCTCCTCAGAGAGACCAGATGTACGCCGCCCAGGAGATGTTCAAGACGGCCAACAAGGTCACCAGACCGGAGAAGGCCCTCATCCTGGGCTTCATGGCAGGATCCAGAGGTACAGGAGAAATCAATTACAAACGGTTCTTATATTTATGCCTGTTCTTTATTCAGTGACTGATCAAAATGCCTGGCAAAGGGGTCAACCACACATCTGCATAAGGTCAAAGTTTCTTACCTTAATGAGGAGGACAGTGACTCTGCAACCTTTCCTAAATAACTACTAAGCTAGGACACATTTCTATTAGGTTAAGTTGGGAGATGAGTCAGAGGTCATATTCGATGTCAGGATCTTGTTCAATTGAAATAAAACCAGTGGCATAAATGCAGGAAGTTACAGGAAGTATCCCGGGTAGTTTCTTAACGCAACAAACCAACCTGTTAGACCCTTTGATAACCCTCTGCTTCCTCCTGCCGTCCTGCAGAGAACCCGTGCCCGGAGCAGGGGGACATCATCCAGATCAAGCTGAGCGAACACACGGAGGTTCTCCCCAAGGCGGACGGCACCGGCAGCACCACCATGCTGGTGGACACAGTCTTCGAAATGAACTACTCCACAGGACAGTGGACCCGTCTCAAGAAATACAAACCCATCACCAACACCTCCTGAGGAGCTTCAAGGCCTCAAAGTCACACATCCCAAATTTCTTATCCTCCTCTTCAATAAAAAAACAAACATGTTTACATACTTACAAGTATTTGCATACACATTTGGGCCAAATCCAGCACTCGTGCGTCGAGGAGAGACGGGTCCTCCCTTTCCTGCACCGCCAAAATGCAGGACTGAAGAATATTTCTGTACTTTTTGTTCGGTTGTTACCCTTAGCCTTTTTATTGTTTCAGTTTTTATGTCCGATTCCTGAATGATGCTCAGGAGGGGTGAGAGTTATACGAGTTGGAGCAGAGGAGTGATTCTTACAACAGGCACCTTTTCAACATTTGTACTCCGAGGTACAGGCATGTCAAGTGTCGAGGAGAGGAGAAAATACGAGCTGTCTGTATGAAAAAACTGAACTTCAGAACTGAATCATAGTTTGACAAAAAAATAAGAGAACAATAACGAGAAGTCGTCGTAGAGGTGACCGTAAACACAAAAGATTTCTCAATGCTGTCAAGTTCTGTTCGGAGCCTTCCGGTTGATGTTTTCTTCGGTTTTTCATCCTTTTTCCGAAGAAGGGAAGAAAATAAAGTGACAACAGACTCCAGGGGGCGTTTCTCATCCTTCTTCCTCACGTTTTAGGGAATGTCCCCGGGTTTACCTGTTGGTGCTTCAGCTTGGCTTTCCCTACTATTATACATGACATGACAGGCTGATGAACATATTCGGGAGGTTTTTTTAAAATGTATTCCTTTGTGTTAATGAAGTCAGAGATCCCAGATGTTCAGCTGTAAATCATGGTGACATCCTTAAGATAACATATTAAGCTAGTGCTCTAATATGATAGGCTAAGGGGCGGGACATCTCTAAGTGGTTGAGCAATCACAACAGAGGGCAGCTAACCAGAGCAGACTGGGTAATCTGCTCTGATTACAGGGTGTCCGCGAGGTCTTAAAAAGTATTAAAAGTTGATAAATCAATTTAGCGAAAATGAAGGCTATTAAAAAGTATTAAGCGGCATTTTCCAAGGCATTACATTTTGTAGCTTGTTTTCAATAAGTATATAAATTGTCCAAAGAGGTTGGATTCTAAAGTCTGCCTGAATGTAATCATTGCGTAGGTGTGTAGTTTATTTATGGCATCCCGTTGGGTTTGAGGTCATCTGAACAGGACATCGCACGCTCACTGCTTGATAGCGTGCGAAGGTCCGTTTACGCCGGTTGTTAAACAACATCGTTATGGGGAAATGCAAGTTTGCGTTCAAATGGTTGGAAGATAAGGAGGAAGGACAATCAATACTTAGTAAATGTGAGGTAAAGTGTGTCGCCAATGTAACCGGTTGAAAAGTGGCGATGAGGTCTTAAAATGTATGGAAAGGGTCTTAAAAAAGGTCTTAAATTACATTTGACTTCAGGATTCCTTGCCATACCCTGGATTAGTAGCTAAATACAAATATGAACCTGAAAATGTGCATAATGGGACCTATTTAAATTGGTATTCCAGTATTTTTTCTACCAGGTATGGCTTGAAGGAATTTCTCTGCCAAGAAATAGTCCAACAGGGCCCCGGGTGAAGCCACAACCTGACATTTATCCACTTCAGTTCTTGTAAAGATTAAACAAGCAATATATATGCTGTAAATGAGTGAGCCATTAGAAGTGCAGGCAGGTGGTGTGTGTTACCTTTGGACCGAGTCCAGTTCTAACTGTTACCCATAGTTACAGTCTTAGGTGCTAAACTAAACTATGTTAATCCTCTGCTGAATGTAGGACTATTTTTACACACACATCAAGTTGTCATGTAACTCAGCCAAAAATAAGTGAATAAGTAAGTGTCCCGAAAAGACAGCTTATTCATTTAAAGGTGACCTATCATGCAAAATGCAATTTTTTACATCTTTTATGCATGAATATGTATCCCCGGTGTTCCAGGGAACTAAGTGTCAGAAAACACAACCCTCTCTATTTTCCTCCATACCCAAATCTCTAAAAAAGGGGCTGCAACGGATCTGATCCAGATTTGAACACTTTTATGTCGTCACAGAAGTTTCGCTACGGCTATTGCGCCAACTCCACCAATCAGGAGGAGACAGCCTCCTGTAGTACATATTTCAGGCCACCAGATGGTGCTGTTCTCACTGAATCCGAGCATGAAAGGCAGTGTTAAATTGAGCAAAATGAGGAANAGCACTTAGTTCCCAGCACTTAGTTCCCAGCACTTAGTACCCCCATGGAATAATCTTCCCTCAGGGAACTTATTCCGGTGTGAACGCGATCTGCTCTTAGTTCCATGGGGGTACTAAGTGCTGGGAACTAAGTGCTGGGAACTAAGTGCTGGGAACTAAGTACGGCAAAGTACTTGGTGTGAACGCGGCTAATGTGTTCTTTTTAACCAAATATCTCTCAGAGGGGCGTGGCTCCTTATTTTCATCTAAAGTAACAGACAGAGAATCAGCACTTTTGAAACAGGGCTGAAACAGAGGGGATTATGGGATGCTACAATGATCTGTTTGGTGTTTCAGCCAAACACTTCAGAGACATGTTTTGTTTTGTATATATCTGCGACCTTTAATATATTGATGAAAAACAGTATGATAGGGGACCTTTAAGCAAACTGTAAAAGTGAGGAGGACAGAAATAGGACTAGTGACACCCTCAGACTTAACTGATGTTTACATGTTTGTTGTTGTTTGTTGCAGACAGAGACGCTGGTGCTGCGGGCGGAGAGGAGGGCTCTGTGTGACTGCATGCCCGTCAACTCTCTGCGCTGAAGACCCTGCCCCCCCTCCACACACTGACACCCACCCTGTTCTAAACCTCTAAACTCATGTACAGCGACCTTCATGTTAACTTATTCACGCAATAGGCACTTTATTTTCCTTTTCTCTCATGTTGTTGTTTTGCCTTTTTGGGGACGACTTTTATACCACTGAGGTTTTACATTGTGAAACACTCCTGTTAATTTAGTTTGTCTTCATCGTCACGGGATCTAGGTCAGTTTCTCATCTATGAAGCATAAACTATCTTTTGTACTTTTTAGTATTTGACTGTATGTAGATACAGTAGAATGCATCGATAAACTTAACTCGTTGAATGTGTTGTTTGAGATTTCATGTTTACGACGATTATACACATCAAACTGTAGCATCACGTGGAATTTATTTATTAACGGCTCAAAATACTTCAATAAAACATAAAAAAATCGCTTATTATGAATCGGTAACATTTAAATGATTTGCAGCCTTTTGCAAACAAAGGTTGGGTAACTAAAAGAAAGTAATATATCTTTTGGAACAAACAATGAAGATTTATTTGTAACGACATCAGAACAAATAATTTTTTATCAGAAGTTCGAACTAATTTTTTTGAATTTTTCTTTAGGTGGAGAAAGCGTATTTGTAAGTCTTGATTTAGCACAGCACTGTAGCATGAATTTACAGCACTTTTTGTTAAACTGCTGTTATTGTAGATTGTATGTATAGATTCTGTATATGTACACGGGTTTTCTCTGCCTGACAGAGGTGTATGCAAGAAATAGTGACGAACGATATATATCGACAGGGGAAGGGAGGACGGATAGAGATAGAAATAATATTTGTCTTATGGTTGCTTGTTCATGAACAGTGTACTTTGTTAACATTGTGTCACAAGAGTAAGACGCCACATTTATTGTCTTAATGTTGTACCTATCAATAAAAAACAATGAATTACCTTTATTTGTTTTGGTCTCTGTTAGGTGACCTATGTGTAACAAATGTGTAAAGAGTATTTCCACTTCTATAATTGGCTTTAACAATTATTTTGTCTTGATTTATCCATTAATTGTTTGTGTTAAAAATTCTCCAATACCTGGAAAAATTAAGTTTACTGTCACAGAACCCTAATAGAGTTTGAGTATAAAGTTATAGGTTCTTTGCATATTTGCTTAAAAAAAACATGGTAAACTCCTTTAATAATGGCTCTACTTTATTTTTCTCAATGTTATCAATTACAACACTATGCCTTACATAAATGGTTATGATTTGTAATTAAAAAGTAGGAAATGTTGTGTTTCTCTACTGCTTAAAGTTTAGAGGAAAGCATCGGAAACAATTCTGGAAAAACGCAATCATTTATGTCAATTTTTAAGCAACAACTATTTTTTACTATTTCACTCAATTATTCAGTCATTTATAAAAATGTCCAGAAAAAAAAGATATCTTAGAATCAGAAAACTATGCAAGTCTTATTTAAATAGATGCAATGTATATGTGTGTGTGGCCTAGTATTACTATCCTTGTGGGGACCTAAATCTGTTTACAGTGTCACGTGTGGGGACTCGCCTCCCTTATGGGGACATAATGGAGGTCCCCATAAGGGGAATCATTAGTCTTTCTGTGAAGACTTAGTTAGGGTTAGGGTTAGGCATGTGTTGGTTATGGTTAAGGTTAGGGTAAGTCTCCAGGAAATGCTTGTAAGTCAATGTAATGTCCCCTGAAGTGATGTATACATGGTATGTGTGTGTGTGTGTGTGTGGGGGGGGGAGGGATGTGTTACCAGCCACAGAAGTGATGTCTTCTGCTGGAAGCTGACCTCACCTCCTCCCACACAGACACCTTTTTAATTATGTACAATAGATTAAAGTGAAGTAACCCTGTAGTTCCTCCTCTCCCCCAGCAGGAGGGGCTCTGAGTGAAGGCATGCCGCCAGCTGTGTCGCAGCGATGCAGCACTCTCTTCTTACCCCATGGCTGTAAATGCAGATGGGGTAAAACACTGTAAATAGATCCAAAACATGAAACCCTAGCACTGCACTGTCCGCCGTGTCCTGCCAGGAATCTCAGCCCAGAGGGGCCGCCATGCACCGCAAGCAATATCGAGGCAAATCCCCCTTTATTGCAC